GAGGCGTTCCCCATAGCGACCCCTAGAGGACGCAGTGTCTCGTTCCCTACTCAGGGAACCATGGTTACATAAGTAACCCGAGACGTTTGTTGGATATTCTTGGATGTAACATTTTGGTTTGTATTCAGTTAAAAGAATAGTTCTCCCAAAAATAATAACAATAAAAAATGTGGTGTCATTTGCCCTTACACACTATTGTTCAAAAGTTTGGGATCCATGGGATTTTTTATGTTTTTGAAAGAAATCTCTTATCACCAAGGCTGTGTTTATTTAATCAAAAATACAGTAATATTGTGTAATTTATTCCTGTGATGCAAAGCTGAATTTTCAGCATCATTACTCCAGTCTTCAGTGTCACATAATCCTTCAGAAATCAGTCTAATTGGTGCTCAGGAATCATTTCTGATTATTATCAATATTGAAAACAGTTATGCTGCTTAATGTTTTTTTTTTTTTTTTTAGGAAATTTCCCAGGATTCTTTGATAATTAGGAAGTTTAATTTAATTTAAGCATTAATTTAAAATGCAGCGCTGCTTGAAAGTTTAGAATTGTCTATATTTCTGCATAAATATAACCCCAAAAATTATCAGATTTTCATGCAAGTCCTGAAAGTTGACAAAAAGAACCCAATAAAACAAATGATGTAAAAAATATGTACTTTGTCATTTATTTATTCAGGGAAATTATCTGATATTACCTATCAGTGAGCGGCAAAAGTATGTGAATCTGTAGGATTAGCTCAGTGATGGGCAAATTTGGCCCTTTCCTGCAGATATTTGATCCAACCCTGATAAAACTCACCTGCCTGTAGCCTTCTAGTAGTCTTGAAGACAATGATTAGCTGGTTCAGGTGTGTTTGATTAGGGTTGGAGCTAAACTCTGAAGGAAAGTGACCTGGAAGGGCCAAGTCTGCCCATCCCTGGATTAGCTGTTAATTTGAAGGTGAAATTACCGTCCATCTGTTCAGGTGTTTTTAATCAGTTAGATGACTATCAGGTGTCAGTGAGTGCCCTGTTTTATTTAAAGAACAGGGATTTATCAAAGTTTGGTCATGTTTGTGGAAGTGTATTATGGCACAAACAAATGAGATCTCTGAGGACCTCAGAAAAAGAGTTGATGTTGCTCATCAGGCTAGAAAAGGTTTCAAAGCCATCGCTAAAGAGTTTGGACTCCACCAATCCACAGTCAGACAGATTTTGTTCAAATAGAGGAAATTCAAGACCACTGTTACCCTCCCCAGGAGTGCTCCACCAACAAATAACACTCTAAAAGCAAGACGTGTAAAAGTCCACTATAGGTTTCAAAAGACTGCAGGCTAACCTCTAAGCAACTGAAGGCCTTTCTCACATTGGTTAATGTTAATGTTTATGAGTCCATCATCAGTTTGGTTTAAATGAGCAGAGTTATGTTTGGAGAAAGAAAACACTGCATTCCAGCTTAAGACCCTTATCCCATCTGTGAAACATGGTGGTGGTAGTGTCATGGTTTGGGCCTGTTTTGCTGCATCTGGTCCATGATGGCTTGCCATCATTGATGGAACAATGAATTCTGAATTATACGAGCAAATTCTGAAGGAAAATGTCAGGAACTGGAACTGAATCTCAAGAGAAAGTGGGTCATGCAGCAAAACAATGACCCCAAGCACACAAGTCATTCAACCAAAGATTGGTTCAAGAAGAACAAAGTTAATGTTTTGGAATGGCCAAGTCAAATTCCAGACCTTAATCCAATTGAAATTTTGTGGAAGGACCTAAAGCAAGCAGTTTAGGAGGAAACCCACCAACATCACAGAGTTGAAGTGGTTCTGTACTGAGGAATGGGCTAAAATTCGTACAAGCCGTTGTGCAGGACTGATCAGCAGTTACAAAGAAACGTTGCTTGCAGTTATTATTGCACACCAGATACAGAAAGCAAAGATTCACTTATGTTTGCCACTCACAAATATTTAACATTGGATCATTTTTCTCAATAAATAAATGACAAAGTATATATTGTCCACCAACATCACAGAGTTGAAGTGGTTCTGTACTGAGGAATGGGCTAAAATTCCTACAAGCCGTTGTGCAGGACTGATCAGCAGTTACCAGAAATGTTACTTGCAGTTATTGCTGCAAAAGGGGGTCACACCACATACAGAAAGCAAAGATTCACTTATGTTTGCCACTCACAAATATTTAACATTGGATCATTTTTCTCAATAAATAAATGACAAAGTATATATTGTTGTCTCCTTTGTTTGATTGGATTCTCTTTGTCTACTTTCAGGATTTGTGTGAAAATCTAATTATGTTTTGGGTCATATTTATGCAGAAATATAGAAAATTCTAAAGGGTTCACAAACTTTCAAGCAGCCCTATATAAATCCTTTGAAACATTATAAAACAACAACAACAATTATAATAATTAATAATACTAATACCAAATGCCACCGGCTCAGTTTGTGTAACCAAATGTGACATGCCAAGTCTGAGTAAGTAAAATCACTGAAATTTGAAGAAGACTTTCAAAGATTTTTTTAAACAATACTTTTAACATATTGATACTGTACCTTCTATGAAAAATATTGTATGGGTCATTATGGAAATGTTCTAGTAGATGGAATACTGTAGGTCTGGATTCTACAAAAAATAGTTTGATAGTGAAACTGAAGGCAAATTCTCTTGCAGCAAGATTCAGTTATACATCATAATAAGAATGAGTGCATATATGGAGAACAAACCCACTAACAGAGAATGAAAAATCAATTACTTATTTAAATATCCTTCAGATCCAAACTATAAATACAGAATACCAAATCTTGATATTGTTGTCTTGCAAGAGTAAAGCAAAAACTTGTTTTGCTTTGATAATAATTAAATTCATAAAACTTTACTTTGAAAAAATGTTGAATACAAAATGATAACAAAAGTAAAAGAAAACTGAAGTCGAGGGTGAAGATCAATAAATAGACTCTGGTTGTCTTTACAAACCTTGCCAGTAAATGTGGACTTCTCTCGACCTTCACCTCCAAGTCTTAAGAGCAGAAAGTGCCAAGGAATTATTGGCGCAGGGTCATTCTTCCTTGTAGGAGTGTCCCCTGTTCTGTCCTAAAAGCAACATTGGAACATATTGATCAGCACAAAACCCCACAGTGGTCCTCATCAGTTCATCATGGAACTGTAGAAGGCCACTTTTTGCGTTATTGTTTTTTGTATCTCAATATTCTGACTTGTTTTCCTCTGAATTCTGAGTTACAATTATCTTACATTTCTGTTTTTTTTCTGCCACAGAATGATAATAATAATAATAATAATAATACGGCAATTTGACTCTTTTTTTTCTCACAGTTGTGGTTTTGTATCTCACTATTTGGACTTTTCTTCTCAGAATTGTGAGAACATTGTGAAATTGTGTCTGAATTGTGAAATTCTGGCATAGAAATAGGCTTCCATAACTACCATTGTTGTCTTTGCACAGAAGAAATAAAGTCATAAAGATTTGAATTTGGAATCACATGAATGGTGAGTAGTTTTCAAAATTTTCATTTCTTAGTGAAAATCCCTTTCACTTGACCATAAAACAGTTCCCACAGTTCCGGTTTTCTTATAGGATTTGTTTAATCTTGGTAATGCTACACTGAACTGAACTCAGTGTAGCACCAGAAAAACATAATTGAAATGAATGTGTATTTATAATACTAAATAGAGTGTATGTTAGACATTAACCCCCCACTTTAACTCCAAACACCTGCTCTGATGTAGATCATGGCTTAGAGAGGGAATTAGTTTTGATCATGCTGAGTCGCCATTAAGAAGGCATTCTTGATTGTAATGTGAGGGCCTCTAGTGGTTAGGGACTGAACAGGTTAATGGAGTTGAATTTATGAGGTATCAGTGTCACAGTGCCACCTTATATACTGTAACCAACTCATACAGAGAGATCATAACTCATTTAAATGCTCCGTAATATCATTTTAAAATCATTCTTGGTATTGATAACTAAAGAGCATGGTACGGCTGTAAGAGGAAAATGTTACTTTATTTGAATTATATTATGCCTAGAAAACATATATAATAATAAATGTGTGAATTTATAAGTTAATCATTTATAAGTTTTATTTTAACAACTTTGTCATATTTTCCCAAATTAATTTAGTTATAATAGGCGACCTGAAAATGGTGAAAAATATGTTCAAATCCTTTTGAACATATCATTGTATTTATGTAAAGCAGAAGTTTTCAAACTGGTATCCAGGAACCCCTAGGAAGCTGCAAAAAAAAATTAATAAAGAGAGAGAGGAAGAAAATTATATTTATATAATATATTTTGACATTACTGTTTCATTCTGCTTTTTTTAAAGACTATAAATCATGAAAGTAATCTGTAAATTACTTTAAATTACAAGAAAAAATTATTTGATTGAAATTGACAGCCCTAGTTTTTAGTGATAAAGTGAAAAAAAAAAATGTATTCACGTTTATGCCTCATTTATTTCTAGGTGTTCTTTGCAATGTAGATATTTCCCAGAATACTTTGTATGTGCGTTTCTCTTAACCATTGCCTGTCAGTATTATTATAAAACAAAACTTTCAATATAAAGCTGCTTTGGAACAATATTTACAGTGCTATACAAATAAAATGGAATGATATTAAGATAATTATTTCAATCATTTGTGTTGGCTTTAGCTAAAATTAACGATGTATTGTCTATATCAAAATACGTAGTCCTATTTCATTTTGCAAACAACATATTGTCTTTTCAAAATCACACTATTTTACAGATGAAAATATCGAGTCCCTCGCAAGAGGATCATCATATTTGGGCATGAAAGAGTTTAAAAGGCGCTGACTTAACAGCACTGAAAGCAGGTGTATATGTAAAGCAGTCTCTGGTGGGCGTGGCATCGTTTGTTATAGCGCCTCTTTTGACCATTCATAATTCAGGTAGGCGGTGTTCAGCACAAGGAGGGGCGTGTCTTGACGCTCAAACCGAAGTTGCGAATCTGTCGAGATAATGAAATGGTAGCAAGTCGTTCAATCCGGATAATCAGAGTATCAGACACAATTATTTTTCAAAAAACGAAAACAGTGCATAAGCAAACCAGTCCAGCTGTGTTTATTGAATGTGCTCTGAAACGAAGACGTAAGTGTGCGCGCTGGAGACGCAGACGCTGGACTGCCAATGCCCGGATTCTCTATTGATCATGCTAATGTATGGAGCTATAACTTCTTAAAATAAGCAGAAATGTGGCCGGCTCGCTTTCTTCTCTTCTTCTGCCTCATCGTCATAATTATGGTGGTTCAGAGGATCAGCGGGCAGTCAGGTGAGTGATAGTACCGGTGCGTAAAGGTTCTTGGCAAGCTCCGCACTTGTCCGGTGTGCACTGTTGTTATAGACTACTTTGCTGCACTTAAACGACCGGCGATTGAAAGACTGAAATGTATACTTAAGGTCCACTGTATCCCTCGTGTCTTTATGATGGCCAGAGGTGGAATCCATTGGAATCACACGTACTTAAGGACTCAATGCAGCATATAACATATCTGTTATTTCGTCCAGTGGTTATTCTGTAATATTATCAAATCAGTAGTCTAATATCTACATGACTGTACCAGATAATCTGGTTTCATCGATAATTATCATGTTCTGAAACAGACTGGCTCATGTTAGTTCTATATATTTTTGTAGCAGATTGAATTTAATATTGGACATGATGGTGATGATTTAAAAGTGTTATGTGGGATTACTTGTAATACACATGCTTATAACTTTTGACCAATAGCTGACAGTCACCAAATTCATAAGGTGTTGTCTGGAGGACATTGTGCCAATAATGTCACAAAGAAAGTTTTGTGTCAATACACCAACACTGAGATGCAACCTTAGTCTGGCATGCTTGCTGTCAAACTTGATGACATGTCAGAGAACTTTGGAATGTAAAAGAAAACATTTGATATCTTAGTCCAGCATGGTTTGAAGATGATCTGACCCTAATTTAGTGAACATCCAATATACTCTGAGAAGGAATTAGAAAAAGTAGTTTTTAATACATTTCAAAATGGCCGGATGCCCAATTTGGCTGACGTCATGACTTTAGGCCAAACAATTGAAAAGTGATAAGCAAAACCAGTAATTGGCACTGTCCACAAACTAATCAGGTACTGATGCCAGTGATATATAGCAAGGTTAGTTTCAATAGGCCAAATCCTTGCAAAGATTTCTTATATTTGGCTACCTTGATGCTAAATTTGTTGATGTGTCACTTAAACGATTTGGTAAATAAGATCGATTATGTTTGGGTTTGACGAGAATAGTCTGACGGTGATTTGAACCAAATTTGATGAAGTTCAGGTAAGTGCTGTAGGTGTAATATATATGAAGAGTTCAGATGCAAAGTACATCTGATGTTTTTCTTTAAAATTAGCATTTATTTCTGGCTACTAGCTATGTATAGGTTTCTATGTAAGTACATCTGAATGGGTTGAGGCTGGGATTTAGCGCATTTGAAGTGAAAGTACTTGATGAACATATACTATGAGTGGAGAGCATTCACTCAGTATCGTTATCTAATTTTTGACCAAGATGGCTTTTAGAGGCTTTTGCATTGGAACTCTTCATATATACACCTACATGTACACCTATATATATATATATATATAGGACCTTAATATATATATATATATTCCATATATATATATATATATATATATATATATGGAATTGAAAATGGGAGAAATTGCATGACTTAGCATGTTCCAAGGAAGAAGAAAAAAAAGTGCAACTTTGACCTGTCGGTGGCGCATGAGAAAATGAGATCGCCATCGGGAATGTTGAGATCCTTCCCAGTCAGTGTGATAAATTTCACAACTTTCTAGCATATGGATCCATGGGTTGTCATAGACTGCCAGTCAGGGGAGAGTCTATTTTAATATGTCGATGCGCGTAAAGGCGCTTGGTGGAACGCAGCGCGGGAGCACGCTCAGCGGAACGCGCATTTCCTGCGCGCTTGGCATCGCGCTGCGGACCCCTACGCTGTGTTCAAATAGCTGCTCAGCATATTTCTGCATCCCTACTGTGAGAAGCGAACTCAGCGTTGGCGGTGCATGAATAAAGTTTTGTTGTGCAGTGTATGAACAAAGAGAAATATGGAAGGAGGTTATCATGACACATATGAGTGAGTGTTATGGCGCAAAACGGTGTTAAGCATGTATCCAGGGAGGCAGACTTGTGTACTGTTGGTTTATGCAAGCAGTTCTTATAATGCATATATCGGCTGACTGGATTAGAAAATCACATCAAAACATGTCCATGCTGTTGTTTACGTCAAAACGAAATTGTGATATTGTTTTCATGGTGATTAAGATTTTCCATTAAATTCTAATTTTATTTCTGAGTTTTTGTTTTTTATTGCCATTATTCTTAACTGTCATTTTCATCAGTGTATTACAGTAAAATAAGGTAGTACATTGTTTTTTATCAATTGCGATCATAAATAATTGATCATCTGTGATTATTTGTATAATGGTCAAACTTACTTTTGATCAAATTTTGTTCAGATATCAACTGAACAATTGAATGCATCTCTGTTTGGAGAGCATCTTGTATTTACTGCTCAAATAATAAGGTGAAGGTCAATTTGAGGACTGTAAGATCACAATAGTACCAGCATGATTTCAATCACTGGAGTCTATTTGTGGAAGATAAATTTAAAATCCCTCATGCAGGAAATTAATTTTTCACAAATTATTTCTGGGTCATCAGGTTTCATATTTTTGCTGTAAATTTTTCCCCCCTGTATGTCTTCCTTTATCTAACTTCTGCTTCAGCTCACTTTCTGCAGATAAATGACACAACATCTGACCCAGGCTGAGATGTGACATTTAAGTTCTAAAGGATATGAACTCGGGGAAAGCAGTCAAATTATTACTTGGATTAAGCTCCATTTGAGAGCCCCAATGAGTCTCCCAGTAATTAAGCTTGTCATTGATATGGTGTCTAGACATGAATATATTTTTATGAGCAGGCAGGAAATGTTTGCAATTTTAGCCAAGCTTAATCCTCTTATTAGGAATTTATTTGTCACGGAGTCATAACTTTAAATGACACTTGTGGTCCATGCCTTTCATTACAGGGACATTTATTGTAGTAATATGGACACTAAATGGTTAATAAAGTTTTTGACAATTTTTTCGTAATAACTAAATGAAATATTAGATAGTATTAAATATAAAATTTTTGTTATTTCAAGAAACCACGAAACCTGCCTAAAACACATGCATTTAAAAAATCACCCAAAAATCTAAATCCAAATAAGAAAATAAAATAAGAAAAATATATTTAATTTTATTTTATTTCATTTAATTTTATTTTATTTTACTGGACATGATTTTGTGAGAATCACACACATAGTTTAACAATATTAATTGTCATGTATTCAAATTTCTAATTATTATTAAATAGTTTTTAAAACTTTCTTTTGAAAAGTTATAAAAGCTTTTTTCTGCCTCAAATGCCTGAAAGCAAACATCACAAACGTGTCAGTTCTTTGGTGTGGAGTAAACCACTAAATCAATTATAATCTATAGGATAGCCCTTTTTTAAAGGGTCTTCAGAATAGCCCAAAAATATATATTTTTCTCTAGCTTAAGGGGTTTTTGTTGTTGTTGTTTTCCACCATTTGACATTCTTCTCTGAAAACAAATGTCTGCTGGTCTCTTTCTGTGGTTGTAGCATGGCTTCTGTCTTTTTGCCTCTAAGACACTGGCCCCCTCCTTCATCCTCACTGTCTCCTCACTGTCTCTCAGTCTTTCTCCATCCTCACAGAACTGTTTGGCTCGGTGCCTCTCCGTCAGCTGTGATCCATTACTTCCCATGCTAATGTGATCATTTATACAGTCACACAGCATCTGAAACCGAAACAAAAATCTGCATCTAAAGACAGCTCACGTTTTAGCACAATTAAATAAATTTGAGTTTTCAAATGTAAGAAAAATGCAACTCCATATACACCAATGTTAAATGTTGGTTATGCTTTTACTTTAAGATAATTTCTTGAAATGAGTGATGGTGAAAATTGTCCAATGTGAGTATTTTTCCAAAATCTGAAAATATAATTAAGTTGTTTTTTATTGAAGTTGTCATGCAACTTTTCTGTGTTTGTGTTCACTTTATTTGACTAGCTTCTGCAAAGTGACAGATGAACTTGTGACAAAATATTCTATACTTTTAGTGTATATTAGTTTTATTGGATGCATGGCCTTCGTGCCAACAAGCAAAGACAAGCCTTTATATGGTCAGTTGTGTTTTCTTATTTGTATTCAGCATTGTTTTTCTCTGCTGTCAGACTTGTGAGCCTTTTTTGGGTCGCTACTCAGTTGAGAAACACTGGTTTAACAGAAAAGAGAAGAGAGTCGTCTTTGTGCAGTTTATTGTGAACTAGCGTGCTGTTGTGCAGGTGGGAAACATTGTCCACTTTGTCCTTTTAAACTCTCCCTTGTGTACCAGTGACCTGTAATAAATGAGCTTGTGCTCAGAAATGGCAGCTGTGGTAGCGGATGGCAGAAAAGGTAAAGAGGGAATGAAGGAGAGAAAGCAAAAAGGAGTGAGCGATAAGCATTTGTACTCCAACATCTGTGTCTTCTTGTGTCCATCAAGCCTCATGGTAGGGCTGCACAATTAATCGAATTTCTACGAACTACGAATTGCCACAATTATGTAATCGTTCAAAGCCGCAATTAATCGTTTAAAGTCCACTTATGTTATTCTGCATGCTTAGGATTTGTTTTTTTTTCTTTCTACAGGTTATCATAAGAGTTTTTCCATTGTTTTAATTTTAGTTTTAATATAACATTATAATACCATGCATATTTTAAATTGTTTTTATTAGTTAAAGAAGAAACCAAACCAATGTGTATATATGACATTTGAGGTTTAGTACTATAGAAAAGCAATACAAGTTTTTCAGTTAGAGTGTTTTCAGCTTGTTTAAATTGTGATAATCGTAATTAATAATCGCAATTACAATTTCAAGGGAATAATCGACAATTATGATTTTTGTCATAATCGTGCAGCCCTACCTCATGGCATTACTTTTGTTGCTCTGTTTAGGTGAGATAGAGGGCAGATGTCATATTGCAACCCTATAGAAATATCACTGCAGTTTCTCTCAGTTTAAAGGTTCATAAAACTCCTACTGAGATGGAAGGGTGATAGTGTGTCACCTTGGATTACTGATTCAAAAAGACCTTGTGCGAAACTATAATCGTTGCTTTATGTTCGCAGTGGGGAGCTCATCACTTATTTCACTCAGAGCAGTGAAAGTTT